CCCCCAAACAAAAAAAGGCGCCACTGGTATATATTTGCGTGATTTGTACAGAATAATTGAATGATTTCTTTGGGCAGATACTAAATTATTACTCGACTTACGCTAAACAGTGCTCTCAATTATAAAATTATCGTTGTGTAGAAGGAATGTACACATAGGTACCTTAGGCCTAGGTTGTAACTATTTTTGAGGGACAAGTCTTAAACAAAAATTTTAATGCGTTGCTATTAGTTATTACTATGGCTGTACCTAAACCTAACTATAAATAGTAAATACCCATTAATAACTTTCATTGTGTTCTAATTAATAATTGTCGTGGTCAAGATTCAAATAAGTCTTAAGTGAGTATATTTAATATTTTATAATTAACAATTAGGTTATATAGTTATGAATATTACTAGTTTGACGAGACAACGATTTCAAGCACTCAAATTTTAATTTAAAACGTAATTCAGTTCGGTCCTTTTAGTTTTTAAATCATTATACTATAATATGTCTAAATTATATAGTATGAATTGAAGTAAATTATATAGAATGAAATAATATGAGTTTTAGCCTTTAAATTACTTTTCTAAATATTGATTAAAAACCTTTACCAAGCTCATTATCAATATATACTATATAATAATAATACACATCATTGTTGTTTATATCTCATAAGAAAAATTCAGCACGTGGAAAATGACGAGTAAAAATCTCTAAATTCAAAAAATACCTAAATATTTCAGTTTTGAATAAACACCTCGGGAAAGTGTTAAGTTAAGTTATCTACTAGGTAATAAATAACCGTAGTTTACGTTCAGACTTATTTTACATACATATACGATTATGATATACCTAATATAAAAATAATATGTAATGTGTATAATGTAATATTTTGCGATCTATCATATTATTTCCGTTTTCTCGTAGGGTTATTATTTTATATCGACATGCACGTCATGCTTGCATGTGATGTGATCAAAGCGCCCTTTAATCGAAATTCTAAAATACAATAATAAAAAAATACAAAATACAATTTAAAACGCTTTACCCCCCGCTAGACCGTTTCACTTAGTGGGTTCTCAGCGAGACACCGCAGATCGTCACGTCAACGTCGTCCCTTATATATATTTTCAAAGACAATCTGCGCCGATCGACGACATATACCTGTATATTGTATATAAACAGACATATAGCGGGTATAATGTTTATACGCCGTCGTGACAATGTGTGTCATCTGATAATATATAGCATACTAGGCATACTGGGATATACCTATTATTCGTCCCTCGAAGTTATATAAGAGACGAAATCAGAATTATTCTATTCGAACAAAGTAAATATATATACATATTTGATACCTAGGTACATTTCACTCGCTGAATACGATACGTATATTGTCACTTATTCAAACTGATGTGGATTAATTTAGTCGTGTGAAGCTTTAGTCTTGAACAGTGGCGTATAGCCAGGAATTTTATATGGGGGAGGCTATGTCTCGCAAAAAATACAACATTTTTTTTCAATTACACTTTTTGTGCCTAAAATAATGTTTGTTGTAAATTAAGCATAAAATTAAATAGTGTATAATTTTTTTTTTTTAACTTATTATGGCTCCAATATTTTAAATTTTAACTACATGCTTCTTGGGACGTGATAGTATAATTATGGGTACAACTGTAAAATATTGGTTCGGGGCTCGTATTATCGAAGTACCGTAAATTTTTGGTAATTTATAGTACATACATTACATATTTATTAACCATGGCTGAGTGATTAATTCACAATTAAGAGGACGTGATACCCGCTTATATTTTCTCCGTCTTACTGCAAGTGCGTGGCTTGGTAAATTTTACACTCAGCAGATCACGTTTAGCTCCGTTAGTTTAAAACTTTGAATAAATTGACCTATTATAAAATTTTAAGGTAAGCGTATTATTTAGACAACCTCTTGAGATTTTTACTATATTTTAATTTTGGAGTGAGTTATGAGTATTTTAAGCTGTAAATATTTTGTACATCTTAAAATACTTATAACGTGATCCATTGAGCTTAAAATTTGCTATGTTAAGCACTTGTAAGTCGGAGACAACACATACAGTTATAACATTCTCTTAATCGTGATAATATTAGAAAGGATATAATAATAATTGTAGATTTAAGTGATTTAAGTTCTGATAAGTATATTATTATTTATTTATAATATATGTTTACTATATACAAAAGATAATAGGTATTTCAATATTTTTTATTATAAATTAATATATTTGGCTATAATAGCTTAAATAAACATAGTCAACGGGAGGGGGGGGATTATGGTCCCCCTTGGCATCTTCTCTGGCTACGCCACTGGTCAAAAACATTACTGTACAATTCTACATAATTTGTATGTACAGTATTCACGTATAGTACGGCAGAAACAGATGAAAATTCGTACTTTTAATATACATTTATACTCGAAACATATCTATGAATATTTTTAATTTAACTAAAATATTTTTATTTTTGCGTAGAAAAAAGTTCAAATTAAGGTCCACTTATCTAGAGCCACTTGTGGGGTATTAATTTTCCAAGTAAGTTCCTATATGTGTATACAGTTATTAAATTTACACTAAAGTTACTTGGCTTAGATTGTGATAGATATTTGCAGTCCACATACTACAGAGAAAATAAATGTTGTACAGATGATTTTTTACGAATTTCATTTAAATGTAAGACGATCTATTACTACAGTTATTATACATATAATATCATGTTCTTTGCTGTTCAAGTGTTGGTGCCAGATAATCGCAGTCTTAACTATTATGCGTTAAGTAAACGAATTTGATCGAGCAGATCGAGTCAGAGTTTTTCTACTGCTTGATCAATGCGCATGTATACATATACCTATTACTTATTGTCTGTCCACCGTGACCGTAGACAAGAGAGCTTGAGAGCTATTTTTTGTAAGTTACCCATTATTTGTGCTGGTTAAAATTTTTAACCTCTATATTAAAAACTGAAATGACACCATTGCTGTATATAATATATATCTATACATCATAATTCATAATATACTTATAAATGTATAACTATATTTTTATAGAAACATTCTTGAGATTATGTTAATTTTATAAATTATTATTATTTAATATTACTTTATTATTSATTATTGTAGATATTTAAAAAAAATAAAAAATAATATTATGTACAGTAGGTACGTCATTTAAAGGGGCCAGATTTTACCGAGAAAAAAAGTGGGTCAGCTGACTTCTCAAGTTGTCGGCCAACCCATGTATTATAATAGAATCTATGTCTTACACATTATATTAATTTCATATATCAATGAGAATGTATTATGTTTTAAATTATATTTAAGACTTATTGTTTTTTACAATGCTACAGCCGTTAGTTTCAATAATATATTAATATGTTATGCGTGTTTATAGATACTAATAAAGTAATAACTGACAACTGTACACGCCTATACTTCCCGTGAAGTAAAAAACATCGACGATGTCCATATTCTTACCTTCTTGATTCCAGTTTTCTAGCATTTGGCTAATAGGCTTACTCGACAAATGCACGTAAACGTTTTCTGTAAAATAAAAATATAAAAATATATGTTAATAGAAAATATTTCAATCTTTAAGGTATTAAATAATATCATAATATTAATATAATATATCTAAATGTGATATTATTACCCTTTACCTGTTTGTTGGGGCACATCATATATTCCGTTTCTCTTATCGATTTCTATTTCACTGTTTTCGATTACTCCCATGTACGACGGATTTCGGATGTTGAACTGAAAAAAAAAACATTGGCAATATTATTGATTTTACTACTCGCGTCAATCATATACAACCATGATTTTTATTATAGTTACATACTAGAAGCTATTAATAAAAAAAAAAAAAAAAAAAAAAAAAAAAAATGGTGATAATTCCGCTAAACATCTAAAACACGTATTTACAATACATTTGGGTGAATAAAAAAAAAAAAAAAAAAAAAACCATGATTTCGATAAACCTAATACCCTATACTTATCAAACGCGGTTATTGATCATTACTTTTCATGACTATAATAATCCCGCTCTCTAGTTTATTTTACCTTATATTATACAATTATTTAAAATATTATTTATGTTTGCTTATAATTACTTAGATACAAATAATCTATACATACAGTATACCTAAAGCTTTTGTCCCATGAAGATTTATTAACTAATGTACTATGATTATATTAACATTAAAGTGGTGTAGCCATACGGAGCATTTTAGTTAATTTTAATGAAACTATATATAATATTATGTCACATTTTATATATATAACAGGAAGGTATATAATATTATATGATTCAACAAAATCCTACTCCTTAGAGTTAGGGTTGTTAATACATAAACATACCTACTTGTATGAAATTCTTATATTGGTCGGTTTGGTTATAAATTGGGATTTATTGACATATTGTGTATAACATGATATGATGGGAAGTAAATATGTTAAGAAACATATTTCGGAACGAATATGAATTAGTTCACACTTAGGTTCTTTTACTTTGAATAAAATCAAACGAGAATACATTCGATACTAAACCTGCAGTGTCATTTTTACCAACTGTTTCCACAATATAGCAATATTTAGCGATTTGCATTTCATCGCAAAAATTATGAATAAACGTGATTTGAAAACACGCGATGCAGCTCGCGACTTCCGGAAACACCACAGCGCACCGTCCGGAAATGAACGCAAATGACTGGGAAACCGCGCTGTGGCGAAATCGTATTAGCGGCGCGAGTGTGTGTGTGTGTTTGTGTGTATATAATTCGTATGATCGCTGTATGCCTTTAGAGCGAAATCTTTCAACTACGTCTTCTAATTCGGTTTGCGCTGTACGATTTGGCTTTTGAAAAGTCATTTATTTTTCCCGACTGTCCTAGCTTCCTCTTCGTCTTTACGTCAGTTCACTTAGTCTCGAAAGCGCATCGTATAATAATAAAGTGACTAATAACAACTCATCGTCATTGCGGGTGTGTGTAAGGTCGATGGTAAGGCGGGAAACTGTTTCCACGATGCATTTCCGCTGCATTCGGATTTGCACGACATTTGAAATATTTTTTAAGACCTTTTATATTTTCAATTTTAATATCTCGATCGATTTTATTCCGTTTTTCTCAAATTAGATATCCTGTGCCATAATGATTTTCGCTCTGCCGTGTATCTGTGTCAGTCATACTCACACTATAGTTTAAACCTACGATTTATAAAGGATTCAACTCTGAAATCGATTGTAGTTTCTATCTTTTATAAATATAGGTACATTATTTGCGTTGGGTATACCTATAATATAATAATATATTGTAGTGAAAACCGTTTTACATAATATATTTTCTGTAATATTGTGATCACACGATAATATGGTTGAAATGAGACCAATAATTTGAGCCGGAGTTTGATATAAACTTTTTATATACATTTTTAAAATATTGAAAATTATTAATGAGTAATGACACAATCATATCAACTGTTTGAAAAAATCCGTGATAAAACTGCTTTCGATAATTTTGTTTAAATTATACAGGGACAGGCATGGGTTAAGATACCTAAACTGTTTTTAACTGTGCATATCCACCATAGTGGTCTTGAAAGCTTATCACTCCATGTGTCAGTGACATTTGTAACAGAGACAAGAGGCAACTAATAATGTTACTGTTGCTCCCTCTTCATCAAAGTATAGTATGACATTATATAAAAGTGATAATATTATAGGATATAATATAGTGTGTTTTTTATTTTCATAACGAACTCAATAATTTACGGGTTTATAATAAACCGCGATGACGAAATGTATATGAGGGGTGCTGAGATAGGCGTCGATAATGAAAATGACTTATACGAAATACTGTATGCGATCGTTTCACATTAAATGGTGAGTATAATACACATACACGCACAGTAGTCAGTAATATATCATCAGATTCTCTCGGAGAAATGTGTATATATAGCGACCCCACACCACACCCTCACAACGACCTAACTAAATGTTTTGTGTTCCCTTATAAACACGACTGCAAAAATAACAAAACACTTTTTCTGCACTTGATTTTTATGTACCTACCTATAAATGATCATAATAATAATAATTTTTTTTTCGCAGTATCATGATAATAATATTATGATGTATTATATTACAATTTGATGAAGTTTATAAATTATACCAATTCCTCTAGGCTCTATATAGTATTATCTCTAAAAATACCACTAATTTGTGTTATCTATACGGCTATACAGTGTATATAGTATACACATAACATAGCTGATATTAAAATATTTAATTATTAAAATTATTATAATATAAAATATACTTATAACCTATGCATACCTATATTTTACATACAAAAATAATAGTAAAATGTATCTCTCTAATTTAAGAGGACCTCGTCCAGGCCGTAGTTAAACACTGACAAGAGGGCATTTTCCAGGGGCGCAGTTATACGAAAAGCGCTATTTAATCGAGTGCCATTATCAATCCAAATATGATAATTTACAAAAAAAATAATTTGTCGTTTATTTCAGCTTAATTGGGTGAGGGGTGCAAATTTGGTTTTCTGCCAGGGTCACTACTGGTTCTTGCTACACCCCTGGACGTCATACCTTCATATTATGTTTTTTTCATCTTAATAAATATGTATAGTATAAATACAACATTAAAGTAAATATTTTTAGTTAGGAAAAATCTATTTCACGCACACTGTTGTTTTAATAACGTCAATTGATATAATATTATCAAATGTAGAGAAAAGAATATTATCACATATGTTATAATTTCTTTAGTTATATCCCTATTTAGGTACCTATTATCGTATTGTCGTGAAGCAAGTGATGATCAATTTATAATCACAATTAAAATATTTTTAAAAATCCTACGTGGCACCTTGGATTATAATATTCTTACCTTTAAATTTAATAACTCGTAAATTCCTCATTTTCGGTATTATATTAAAAAAACAAAGAACATAGATTTTTCTAATTGGAAATTACGAAAAATTGATCATAATATCAAATCACAAAGTATATAATAATACTCAGTTTATCAAATATGCATATTAATAGTTTATAGATAATGGATTTAGACATGAGGTTTGAGTGTCTCCTAAAAAGCTAAAACTATATTATTTCACCTATAATAACATTTTTTCTAGGGCTTTATAAATATCTTGAAACGTCTTATTTTCGTTTATTCATGGGTATATAAAAATCCGGTTTTTCTTTTAATCTTCCTCCATATAAAACTCAATTATGCCGTATTTCGGTATTCGGTATATATGCCTTATTTTGTAATCTAATATGCCTGATGAATTATACATTTTATCAACTAAAATCTATCTACTATAGTACTATATAATTATAAAACACACTTTTAAAAGATTTAACGTTTTACATATATATATCATTATATTAAAAAGTATTTTAAATTTCACTGACGAATTGCAAATAATAGGTAATGTAGATGGCTATTACTTATATCACGAATATATACAATGTGACGTAAGTTGTACCTTGTACAAGTACAAATAAGATTTTTTGACATTATCTAATTAATATCTGATAAAAATACCTTACCCTTTTTAGGTCTTTTGCTTTTTTTTAGTACAGCATGACGCTTGCAAGTGAAATGAATCAAAATTTTTAAGATTTAATAAGACGTTAACCATAATGCATAATTAATAATAATTAAATTATTATTATTTGTTTTTAAAATTTAAAACACGATTCATACAAGACTACAAATGAAGATATATTGCAATACTATATTTGAGTACCTAAATGGATTTACGTAAATACTAGATTGATATACGAATATACCATTTTAGGCACTTGAAAACTATAATTATTATTTTAAATGTTAATCTGTTTAACGATTTTGTGAATTTTTATCGTTTTACTGTTTTGTACTTTTTAGTTCTTACACTATTTATTGTTTATTTATTCACTAAAAGTTAGCGGTTATGAGGCACCTTTATATGGTCAAATTATTTTAACTAGCTACCCATAAAGATTTTAAATAGATATAAAATATGCCTTTAAATATTCAATTTAAATTAATTTATATTGCTACATTTAGCTTTGACTCATCCCCCTTTATTGTAACTATATAGGTAAATAATATTGAGTCAGCTAAATATTTTTCTGAGTACCTACTTGATATACTTTGACTCATAAACATGTATGTTGATATTCAAAAAAGTAAAAAATTTGAATTTTTTGTTCAAAAGTATTGCAATATGTAAATATTATATATAAAAAAATCTAAAACATATCAAAATGAATGATGTAGATACTTGAACAGTTGAACTGATCTAACCACCCTGAAAAGATGACCTTCAGCTCACAGAATTGCTATGCATCTACCCTACCCGTACACCTCTTGCCTGTCTGTCTCGCTAAGCATCAGCCTTTTTCTCCTCGAGAATTGCTTTCACCAAGAGTATAAAGTCTATAGATGAAAATGTGAATCACGATGATTATTAATAATATTGCTTTTGCACGCACAAAAATTGCAAAAAATACATATTATTGTCTCCTGTATAACGAAAATAAAAACCATCATTAATATTATAATTGCTATATTTAGTATTTATAAGGCACACGTCTAAGCATTCTAAACAATAAATGACATTTTATTAAATATATTTCTATAATTTTTGTGAAAATGCACCTTATTATAGTTCAATAATATTCTAATATTATTATGACGTTATCGGATTGCCGATCGAATATACTATATGCAGGGTACTTACAGTCGATAATATTTTCGGATGATCTACCGGTTCATCCTGCACCTGTTGTTCGCGTGGGCTGTTGATCATAATTTATTCGAATGAATTATAAAAGTAAAAAATATATCTTCCTTTAGTTAATAACTATAGTCAGTAGGTGTATATAAATAAAATATAACTATTGAAACGAAAACTACTGCTGTTAGTCTCCTGTGCGCCGCGATTTTCGGTCTATATACTTTCCGAGCTAAACGAGATATCGATATCACGTGACAAGAACTAAAAAATCAGATCTTAGTCACGTGCAATACGATAGTAAAATTGTTTTCGTCACATGTAGACGTCGTACAGATCTGGAAGTATTGCAACGATGACGACAAAACGGACCAAAATTTGACAGTCGCGACAAAAAACGCGCGTGGCCCGGTAGGTGATACTGACGTGCGTCGCCGAGCGGCGTTTTCATGCGACCTAAGCACGCAAGTCCTCGGCGAAACGCCGGTGCTGGCGGGGGGCGGGACCCGATCCCAGGAGAGGCGTCCAGCCCTCGACCAATAGGATGGCGAGCGCTGATTATATATAACATATATTATATAGCGCAGCGTTCTATTTACTCATTTCGCTGTAAGGCCGAAGATCCTGCGAGGGATGGGAAGAGCGAAAGTATAGGTTAATTGTATTCTATCGTCACCTGCGAAAAACGGAAACCTACAGCTATAGCACCCAACAAGTCCTGAAAATGTGTTTGTTACCAGAAATACATTCTATATTATAATATAAAACATAAGTTAACCAGATTTTAATATTATCGTTATTGTTATTGTTAATAAGCCTTATTTTTTTGTAGTGGTGGTGGGGTGGAATTTACATGATATTTTTTCTTGAGAAAAATATCCCCTATACCCCTGCAGCTTTAAGTTAGTAATATATAATATTACAACAATATGAACAATAATAATTACTACATCTATATGATGACATCAAAACGGTTTTAAATTCTTAAACTACACAATGCGAGCGTTTAAACGCCATCATAATATAAACGTAGTAAATGATATAAAAATATAAACAGTACTATAGTAGCCGCGGTATAGGTACGATATTTGAATTTAATTGATGATAATATAAACATAAAATATCAAAATTCGTAAATTTCAAATAAATAGGTTAAAATGTTTGGAAATTTCATCGCGTATAAACAATGATAATTTAAGTTATATATTTATTAATGTTTTAAACTTCTAAGTTTTAAGATTGATTTAATTTAACAATCACCAATTAATTAAATAGTAGTAGAGGATAAATTATTAATGTATGACTTGTTATCAGAAATTTGAATTCAAAAAATGTAACTGGAATTACACTAAACTTATTTTTTATTCCCGGTAGGTAATAAAAAAAAATTTGTATTAAATTATCAAACCTTATAGTTTAAAAATACCTATCTTTAATTTAAAAATGTTTACCTACTACATACCTAGTTAGCAAATTTTCGCGATTTTGATGAATTTCGTAAACATTTGAATATTAAATGCTTAAAAATAATGTTTGACTATATACATATATTTTCATCTTTTGATATTTTTTAATCGAGATACTAACAACTTAAGAGATATACCTTTATTATCTATATTATTTTTAAAAGTACTGAAAACTTTAAATTCAAATTTTACTTTTACTTTTAACCTCCTCCCTCCTCTCCTTATGAAATGATTTATTCAACTTTCCTATTTTAGCCATTTCGACTACTATTGTACATATTGTTAGTATAGAAATAAACAATCTACCTATATTACCAGTATTACCTATCTTTTTTTAGTACCTAGGTTCATGGTATATAGGGAAATATAGGTAAACAGGTAATTACTTAAAACGATTCTAAATATTTTGAAAATTTCATTGTGCGTATATACTAAAATATACCTATAACAAACGAAAAAAGTTGTCACTAAGAAGTAAAAATGTTTTTTAATCACAATGATATAACTAAAATCATCGTTATTCTTCGTTTAAAATTTAWAATATCAATAACATTGTCGACATTTGAACTTTAATACTTCTAAAAAAATTCTCGATGACTTTGTAATTTTAATATAATTGAATTGCTATTATAATAACCTTGTATTAAATGTTACGTTAAATATTTTGATCAAGTGAAAAATTATTCATCAACAAACTTCAAAACTCGGTTTTGGGAAAAATCGCTATTTATTGTTTTTTTCTCGATACCTAAAGAACTACCCAGATTTTTTTAATTATCAACCCCGAAAGTATCAACTAGATTCATTTTCTTACCAGAAAATATGTTGAACATATTGGCATTTAGGAATTATTGCTGCTCCCAAAGGTGATTACGGACAGAAAAATTATCACACATCAATGTAAAATCAATACAGTTTCCACTTAAAAAATATAGAATCTATTAGATTCTAAATACTAGTGTTAAATGTTATAAAGTATTGAAGTGTTCCAATAATATTTTTTGAATACAAATAATATATATATATATATATATATATTTACTATTATCATTTACTGCGGAATACTTGAAAATATTACTCTTATAAACATGCACAATCAAACTATATCATCAGATTTTCAGATATCAAAAATTAGAGTATAATATACCTATTAACCTGTTACACATTGGAAAAAAAAACCATGTAATTAAAAATATAAATACATATTAAAAAAAATATTTAAAGTAAAAATTTATTACCTATATTAATTTATATATTATTTAAAAATGTAAAATAGCCAATAATTAACCAAAAATACAAAGCTTAAGAGCTGAGACGTATACGTAGTACATATTATAAGTAAATAAAAGGGAAATGAAATGCAACTTATTTTTGAAATGAAAAAGTAATAATCTTCAGCTTTCTGTGAATGATACTCAATTAATATAAATTTATATTAATTAATATTAAATTACAAATATTAATTTAAAATTTTTATTGACTTCATATTGTACTTTAATTAGGTACCTATAAAGTCTGATGTCGTTTGTACGTAGGTACTTACCTGTCCTACCTTTTAGGTTAACGCGTTTTAAGATTATATATATACATATATGCATATATAAGTACAGGGGCGGCTCCAAAGCCTTGGTTACGATAAGGTCAAGTTATAATTTCACAAAACTTTATGACTAAAATATTATTTATAGAACACATTTTAACAACTCTTATCAAGATAATATCCTTTGTATTCCCGTAGTCCGTATAGAACTACAGAAATGTGTGCTACGCAATTCATATTTTGAACCTAATAAAATAATAATATCATAGTATCATACCATAGTATATTTTATACCTTATTTATGGTCTTAGAGTCCGATTTACAATCATAGTTTAAGCCTCGGTTAATAAATAATATTTATGATTATAATTATAAATATGTATAAAATTAATATAAATTAATAAATTAATTAAAAATTAATTAATATATATAATTATAATTATAATTATTTATAATTAATAAATAACTATGCTTATCCCACTGATTTAACTGGCCGAATCCCACAATTTAATCTTAGTTTAACAATTGTATAGCGGGCCCTTATAGGTTCTTCATAATATAGATAGCAGATACATCGTATATACCGTCATACAGTGGCGTGCCCAGGAAATTTCAATAGGGAGGGATATATGTTATAAATTTTTTAGTAAAAGTTGGTACATTTAAATAAATCATGGTTATGCAAACACAAAAATTGCTAAACATATGTACATTCATGCATATTGAGTATCATTCTACAATTAGAATTAATTTAAATAGCCACACACTATACACTATTGTTTAAATAAAATGACAACATTAAACTAAAAACATTTATAACCTTTATTAAAATAATTAATATACAAATGAAAAATAATTCTTAAAAACATCTTAGTTATTCGTAGTTATTCCAAACGAAAATTTATATTTATACTTTTAGTCTACGTGATAAGCATGATCCATCGTTCTATCTTATATCTTACCATAAACATAATTAATTATTAATTATTACTTAGAGGATTTATTGCTCATAAACATGAATACATAATCACTGATCTATAATCATTAATCAGTATAATCCGTATAGTGAATGTTTATAATAGCCAATGGGAAATAATTTATAAGCAATAACTTATTACTGATAATTTTAAAAGTAATATCCATATCCATATATAAATGTTTATATATGTCTATGGTTATATCTAATAAGTTGAAGTTAACAAAAAAAAGCCAATGGGGGGGGATATAACCCCTAACCTCCCCCCTTGGRCACGCCACTGCCGTCATACCTCTATTTAAATACTCTATGTACATACTTGTGCTTGTCATAATAATCGATATTATAATATACACTTTATTTGTTTGTATTTTATTTTTAACTATACTGCAGGCTTGGGAGGGGGCCACGGCCACTAGGCCCCCCTGGAGCCGCCCCTGCTTAATTAGTTACTTAAGAAAGATATCTTAAAAATAGAGAAAGGTATCTTAAATCGTGGTACTAAGCCACTAAGGTATATACTTGTATTGTAAACATTTATGAACACATTCCATATCACGACTATTCGTTTTCATATTATAAAAATAAAATTTCAAAATACTATTTTCTATAAGTATTCAATTATTCAATAGATATTTCATTATAATTGAATAATTGATATAAGTTTTCCAACTTTTGAAAATTGTTTTACTCAAATACAGGGTAACGGATTAAGCGTGATAATAATATTTTTTTATATTTATATATATCATGCATTTTTGCTGCACTATTAGTAATTAGTGTCAAGCCACGAAATAGATTAAGTTTCATCATTTCCGTGGCCTAGCACTACAGTCTACACTTCTACAGGCAGTACAAGCAAAAAACATTGTGCATTGTGTATTTGTGTGTTCAATTAACAATTTCAAGTTCCAACACAATGTTTTTTGCTTCAAGCCACCGCCACGAGGAAAAGATAAATTTTAAAACATCCTCTCGTTCGAGAAACACAGTTGCCGGATGAACAATGTGCCTCTTATCATTTCGGCGTAACGAATGATCGTGATAACGAAAACAAAAAAGCGTCAAACGAAAACATTAAACAAAATAAAAAATAATGGGTAATAGTTTAATGATTATAATATTTTGTGATTTGTGAGTTGTATCATCGAGATCATCGCTCTTAATTCTCCAAAAAATGTTTTGATTTAACGTGACTATTGTTACGAAACCAGAAACTGTTGATCAGTCGAGTGTTTGAAACTGTCCGRTCCTGTGTAGTGACTACTTTCTCAAGTTCCTGTAACCGGTCAAAATGGTTAACTTCAACGAGAGTAATAACGGTAAGGCAAACTGTTAATTACATTAATTTAAATGCTACTTGTATAGATGT